ATCTGATTTCGGTATTGCCCATCGGGTGATGTCCATGTGTAGAGTCATCTCTTGTGTTGTTGGAAAAGAGTGTTTGTGATGCCCAGCTTGTTCTCTTCACAAAACTCTATTAGCCTTTACCTTGCTTCGTTTTGAAGTCCAAGGCCAAACTTACCTATTGTTCCTTTTATCTCTTGACACCCTACTTTAGCATTCCAGTCCCCTATAATGACAAGAACATCTTTCTTTAGTGTCAGTTCTAGAAGGTGCTGTAGGTCTTCATAGAATTGTTCAATTTCAGCCTCTTCAGCATCGGTGATTGGTGCATAAACTTGGATTACTGTGATGTTGAAAGGATTGCCTTGGATTCATATTGACATAATTCTTTCATTTTCGAGATTGTATCCCATTACAGCTTTTCTCACTCTTTTGTTGACTATGAGGGCTACTCCATTCCTTCTACGGGATTCTTGTCCACAACAGTAAATATGATAATCGTCTGAATAGAATTAGCCCATTGCCATCCATTTTAATTCACTGATGCCCGGGATGTCAATGTTTATTCTTGCCATGTCCTGTTTGACCACATCCAGCTTCCCAAGGTTCATAGATCTTACATTCCAGGTTCCTATGCAGTATTTTTCTTTGCAGCATCGGACTTTCATTTCATTTCCAGGCGTGTCCACAGCTGAGTGTCCTTTCGGCTTTGGCCCAATCACTTCATTAGCTCTGGAGCTACTTGTCCTTGTAGCTTCCTCAGTAGCATGTTGGACACCTTCCGACCTGAGGGGCTCATCTTCCAGGGTCATATCTTTTAGCCTTTTGTTTCTATCCATGGAGTTTTCTTGGCAAAGATCCCGGAGTGGTTTGCCAGTTCTTGCTCCAGGTGGATCGCGTTTAGTCAGAACTCTCCACTATGACCTGTCCGTCTTGGGTGGCCCTGCATGACATAGCCCACAGCCTCTCTGAATAACTCAAGCCCTTTTGCCACGACAAACAATCCGTGAAGGGCAAGTAATCTTTCGCTTTACTTAAAAAGCATGAAAAAGTATCAAAATTGTTAAAAGAATATATAAATTAAATGACTTTCCTAGCCTCTAAGCATATTAATAACACACAGAGAACAATACAGTAAAACATTTTCTAAATGCTCACCCAGTTATCTAACAGTTAAAATCTATGAAGGAAAATCCACAATTTCTATGCCTTTTCTCTGCACTATTTCATTATGTTTTTCTCCACTTCCCCACCTCCTTAGCATGGCTCTGTTACATGACTGTTGCTGGTATTTGGTGTGTGTAGCCTAGCATGGAGACATCTTGTTATGATGAGTTGAATGAGTGAGTCAGTGTGTCTTATCTCTCTATATAATTCTTACCAGTTGTTTTCCTTCCTCCAAACTATAAAGAAACTCTATCTGAAGTCTTGGAAGCCCAAATGCTTAAAGGTCCAAGAAAAATATCAATAGGAAATTATACTGCTGTTGCATATATTATGACTCTAATGGACTGTAATCTACAATCTGGCAAGCTGACATTATGCTGATAACCATTTTTGTTTTGACTAACAATTTTTGCAGAAGCTGTATGACCATAGTCCTGTAGCATGAAAGATTTGAAAACCCACAATTTTAGAAAAGCCAAATACTACAATGCAAAGACACTGGAAATACAAGAAGTGCAAACCATTAGACATGCACACACAATCTCTATATCTACAAGCCATAGCAAAAACATTATTCAGCTTCCAGGATGTTTATGATTCATTGTTCTTGACTGGTAGATTGGGTAAAAAATCTCTAATAATTTGGCAGTGAATGACAGAGAACAGAGAAAAGATATGGAGTGTGTGTGGGGAGGGGGGGAGAAGAAGAGAAGGGAAGTTGATAAAACATATAAAAAAGAAGGGAAAGGTATGAAAAAGGAGAGTGGAGGAAGAGTGGTGAACTCAAAGGGGAGATTTCGAAGGATCTTAAAGAGAGTATGAGGTTGGTCAGGGAGTCACTGTGACAGCATATCTACCACCTATATTTCTGAGATTGGTCCTCTTAGGCCTCAGAATTACTTAGCATATACCCCATGGGCAAGCCTGACCTTAAAAGAAAACTTTGCTTACTCTTAAAGCACTTAAGCATGGGCTTTGTGTTTTCTCAGGACACACAACAGCTCTGCAAGGTAGGACCACTCGTGGTAGCAAATTAGTGACCTTCCAATCTACTGGATCTAGGTGTAACCCTACTGTTCAAGAGACTAGCCCTCAGTTAAGGTTATATTTGTTTTTATTAAGAAAATATAGATTCATAGAGAAACAATTGTTTGCAAAAGCAATAGCATAAACATATCCAAAAGATTACAAAGGTTAAATAAAGCTATTTCTTCTTAAAATGAGAAACACTAAAACTAAGCTAAGTAATCATTGTAGGCTCCTAACGTGGGCTATTCCCCCTCCTTCTTCTGGTTTTAAAAAGACAAACCGATTTTCCTTGCTACATTCTGTAAGCATTCCAACACTTAACTCAATCCATTCGAAGCTGATACAGATCCCATGGATACGAATACTCTAAAAACATCCCATCATCCATCTTTTCTACATGTCTAAGACTTCTGTCTCCATTACGCCCAACAGCTGTAAACCAATTAATTTCAAAGAGGCTTAACACAACTCTCCACCCAGAATTCTCATGATTTCCACAGATGGGTTATCACGCTCCCAATTAGTTGGTATGCATCTTTGGTCTTCCCGGGCCTCTCTCTGTGTCTTTGTGCTTATCACAGTTCCCTCTGTATCAGGCAGTAATTCTGAAAAACAGTCTCATGGCCTAACACATTCCAATGCTTTACAATCATGTTACACAGAACCTCACCGTCTCCATTTTCTTTGACTACAATCCCTGGTATCCTTCAAATCATCACATATACAATAGAAGAGCATGTGATAGATATAAACTTAGTTGAAATATGGGGATTAGAAGAACTCAGACCCATTGAAAAATGAGAAGAAATAAGGAAGACGCCAGGATAAGGGAACCAGTGTTGTTTTGAATCCCCAAGATTGAGGCAGAGAGGCCATCGCAGAAATCCTCGTACTGGGGGAACTGAGAGAGGGAGAGAGAATACAGGCCCAAGAGATTACTTTATGGTGAAAGGCTGAAGTAGTTAAGGTATCCTGGTGTAAGACTCAGGAGAAGAGTTGACCATTTCAAGAAAACTCAACAGGGAGGAGAGTATTGGCCACTTGTATCCAGAAGGGCTACATAAGTAATCCCTGTTGTGGCACCTTCTGCCTAACATATGTGAAGCCACTGCTATGTCCAGAAGGAAGCCAGGGATCTCAGTGTTAAACTTTCACTAAGGGCATTGAAGAAAAGTGGATTGGAGGATTACCAAGAAAAGGTCCTGTTGTTAAACCACCATTGTTAAATGTTGATAGTGATGAGAGTTTAGATTATTGTTCAATAATTGGCTTGCATACTATTGACTCCTGCATCATAGAAGAAAACATGGGTGAAGGAGTATGACATTGTTTGACCCGTGCAAAGCAGGTAAAGGTAGCATTCAATAAAAGATAACTTCAAAGCAGGTAAAGGTAGCACTCAATGAAAGATAACTTCACACCTATGCCAGTGTACCCCGTGCCCCTCAAGATACAGTATTACAGGGAAGGCTTTGTTAGCTGCTCCAAACGCTTTTGAGGTTGTCCCCATTGGGTGAAATTATCCAATGGATTTATTATTTGTACTGTACTGCTTCTGAGACAAACAAGAATCTAAAATGAAACTCTTCCAGGCTTTTATTGGCATTGGATATAATTTTCAAAAGAAAAAAAACTGCATCCCAGTTTAATCCATAGAAGAGAAAACTAAATCGCTTGATGGCTTGCAGAATGCCCATATCGGCTGCTTCTCCTCTCCTTTTGAATTTTGAGTACCTCAAGGTCAGTCAGTGTCGGGGGTGCCGGAAAGCTGATGGGTTCTCCACTTGTTTTGAGTATCGCTAGTTCTGACTTTGTTAAGAGATTGATTTTTTTGTCCTATATCGAAAACCACACGGCATTTATTCTAGATTTCGATCGCTTTGCGATAAAAATCGTTACTCGGGTCTCATAACAAGAACACGCGTCTGTATTCGGATTGCAAGAGAAAAACCGGTCTTCCTTTCAGACGACGAGGTGAGGTGCTTCTGGCCGCTGCCCAGCAGAGGGCGCTCGGGGGCTGCTTCCGGAAACTGATTTGTGTTTCTTGGCAATACAAATGCAACCGGAAGAGCGTGAGTTTTATATTTGACATGCAGACGAACGAAGAGGGTATGCGCTATAGAGATAAGAAAATGAAAGCAAAATACTTGACTTTTTTTTTCTGGCTCTGGGTGAATATTGAAAGCTATATTTTTGTCTCTCTTTTGGGGAAATGCGGTCTCTACATTAAAAAAAATGAATTGGGAGATTTGAACATGCCTCCATTCAGAAATAAAAGGCACAGACGACGGTAGCTGCTTCCCAACGGCCACTTTTGATTTTAAGGGTCACAGGTGGCCCCGAGACTGAACTGTTAATTTATTTTACTTATACCTTTCCTTTTCTTTCTCCCAGCAGGGCAGTCCAAGGTAGCTTGCAAAGAATGTTAAAACACAAATATTAAAACAATTTTTAAAAATGCAATAAATTGCAATATTAGAAAACAAACAGTAATTTAAAGATATTAAATGGAATCTCTTTAATACAGTTTGGAAACAAATTTAAAACACAAAAGCATCCTTCCATTAAAAGCCCTTCTTTAGCAGCAGCTTATTTATCCAAAGCCTGTCTAAAAATGCCTGGAGAAGAATGGCAAGGGGGGGGTGCCCTGCCTCATCCCCTATGATGGGAGTTCCCACAACCTTGGACCGAAAAGCCTTCTCAGATCTCAGACCTATCTGTGTAAAGGACATGAGGCAGAGAGAAAGGACCCCCCCTTGCAGATCTTAAAACTCGGGGGAAGACAGGATCTCTCATATCGCCTCATATCGTGCTTTATAGGTTAAAACCAGCCCTTTGATTAAATGGACTGGTCACCGCTGAGCCAGAAAGCTGGCGGGACGGGACGTTTGTCCTCCTTGGGCGTGACTCGCAACGGCGGAAGTCTACGCTTCGTGCCGCGCCGAGGAGGCGGAAGGGGCTCCGGCGGGCAGGAGGGGGGGAGGCGTGCATTTTCAAGTTGGAGATGAAGCCAGCCAAGGCGGCCCGCACTCGCAAAGGCGACGACGGGTAAGCAACGCGACCCCCGATCCTCCCCCCACCACCACACCTCCGGTTCCCTTTCGAACGACTGTCGCCAGCCTCGAATCTGGAAGATGGTCGCCGCCGTCTCGCCCCAAACCGCCTTCTCTGCGGCCGGCGGAGCGCAAGCTGAGCTGCTCCGGGCACCGTGTGCGCCCCGGAACTCCGCCAGCCCCCCATGTCTTGAAAATCCTTCCAGTACCTCCAGTAGTGGGATGTGGGACGGGTGGTTGTCGTGGTTTTTTCCGTGCCTGAGGGAAGGGCACTCTGCAAATGCTCAGAGTTTGGGTTTCCCCCTCTTCCCTTACCGTTTCCCCTCAATACCTTGCAACTTAGGCCTGGCGTTGCAAGCATGACCGGAGCGGGTCATCTTCCCAAGATCACTTTAAAATAGGACACACACACACACACACCCGCTCCTCTGCGCAAATTGAATCATAGCTTGAGCTTCCTTGGCCCCAGGCAACTTCTCAGCAAAAGTAAGCAAGCGGTGAGGTTGACTTAAAACAAATACAATGAAAGAGTTTTTAAGAAAAGTGGGGAAAGATCCTCCATATACCCGACCATCTCACTGGTGTGTATACATTTGGCCCACTCCTTTACTCCAGGCGTGGGCCAGATGTAACTTATTTACCCTTCCAACTCTGATCAGATTTACCCAGCACAGCATCATTCAACAGCAGGGGAGTGGGGGTTGACCCTCTGCCCAGCACAGCATCATTCAACAGCAGGGGAATGGGGGTTGACCCTCTAGCGCAGTGCTTCCCAACCTTGGATGCCCAGATGTTCTTGGACTGCAACTCCCAGAAATCCTGGCTAGCACAGCTAGTGGTGAAAGGTGGGAGCTTTAGTTCAAGAACATCTGGGGACCCAAGGATGGGACTCATTGCTGTAGTTTAGGGGTCCCCGAGGTCGGGTCCTCAGATGTTCTTGGACTGAAACTCTCAGATGCCTTCGCCACTAGCTGTGCTGACCAGGGTTTCTAGAAGTTGTAGTCCAAGAACATCTGGGGACCCAAGGTTGGAAACCACTGCTCTAGTCACTTTAATCCTTGAGCAGCTTTCTCCTTAATCAGTAGTTTCCAGACTTTTGCCCAGAGAGACATTCACATGATTGGCTTTCCCTCCCAAATACCTCCTCTGTATATGCCAAGGAACCGCTATACATTGCAGAGAATTCTGGGTTATAGTCAGTTCACAAAGTCATTGGTTTTAACTGACACTGGAGACCACATGCTAGAGTCTAAACCAGTGGTTCTTAACCTTTTTTACTCGGTTGCTTTTGAACTGCAACTCCCAGAAACCCCAGTCAGGACAGCTGGTGGTGAAGACTTCTGGGAGTTGCAGTCCAAAACTCCTGAGTAACCCAAGGTTAAGAACCACTGGTCTAGACCAGAATACCAAACACCCAATTATGACTATACTATTAGTGGTCACTTTCATGAGAAAAAATGGTATAGTCTTCTTGGTCTCTGTTGTGCCACTTCCAAGCATGCAAAAGGCTACCAGTCTTCATAACTTTTGCACAGATTCTGAGTATGGCTGGGGAATTACTGTAAATTTCCCCCACTGGTGTCATTTCTGCTAGCAGGTGGACGCCATTGGTTGCCACCCATTATTTCCAAGCAGAGGATGGTCCATGTCTCTTTCTCAGTAAACTGTACATCTTGTACCATCTGCCACCTGAACTTTTATGACATTATCAGTTTTAATATACATTTGCAATAGTGATTTTAAAAAAGACAGATTAATCGGAAGATAGCAAGTCTCTGGAAGAACTGAGATTAAAGAAACCAGAAAGTGGATAGCTGTTTGCGATGTACAAATCTGGATTGTGTTTAAGTGTTCCCAAATAAGTGAGGATCATAAGCTAGTTTCACACTGCTGATGGTTTTCAATCCTGACTTTTCTGAGCTCATATTCAAATTCATATTGTGATTTATTAAAGCTAGGGTTCCTCAATTCCCATCATATGTAATAATATCTGCAGCCTTGACAGAATCCTGAAAAATTAAGCACTGAGGGTCATCTTTTGGATGAGATTTAAAATCCCCATGAATGTAACAATATTGGGCCAAAATTCTGTTCACTTGTGCAGTTGCAGAATGGGAATTTCCCTCTGGTAGGCCCTCCAGTCACACACTGGTTGTGAAATTGTGCTTGCAATGAACAATCTGCCTATGTAGAAAAAACACTGCATGATTGCTCAGTACAGTGGTGCCTCGCATAACGATGTTAATTGTTTCCGAAAAAAAGTTATGTGAAAACATCGTTATGTGAAGCACCATTTCCCATAGGAATGCATTGAAAACCAGTTAATCCGTTCCAATTGGAACG